ATGATGATGGTGGTGGTGGTGGTGGTGGTGGTGATGAGGAGGAAAGCAGCCGGCTGGACCGGCAGGAAAGTCGTGTTCTGGAGTGGGAGGTTGCTGGGACATGGGGTGTGACGCACAGGTTGTGTTTTGACGCTACTATTGAAAAAGAGCTCCGCAGCAAACGTTACACAGCATTCGAGCAGGGTTGCATTAGAGCTTCAGCGACAAAAGCGATATGGACACGCCAGAAGGCCAAAGACCACGGAGACGGCATCGATCCGACCTGTGCTTTGTTGTGGCGTCTCGCTTCCGACATCGTCCATCACCGTCTTTGGGTCTGCACGTGTCCTGCGGTTGCCGATCTTTGCAGATAACGATACTATTAATCAAGGTTTGTCTGAAACCGACACTGTGCTTTCTTGTTTTGGACCTTTGCCCATCCTGGGGATTATGTTTCGCGGCCTCCTCCCGAAGCTTCTGCCACGTTGTGGGCTCGAGAAGATTTTCCTCCGGATTTCAGCCAGTTTGATTTCAGCGGTAATTTGTTCACTGATGGGAGCGCCAGTGCGCATGTTCTTCGCGAGTTGAGCCGTGCGGGCTGGTGTTTCGCTCCCGTTGACGAACCAAGTGAATTTCTAGGCATGGTGTACGGCCATGCTCCGCCACGGTATCCCCGGACGGCCCCAGCGGGGGAGCTCGCGACGTTCTGCCCAGCTGTGCGTTTCGCACACTCTGAGTCTGATTGTGGCACTGACGCTCAACTGGTTATGGATCATTTTGCCCTCCCTCGTTTGAATTAGCTGTCGCCCAAACGATGCGACTCTGGTGCACGACTTGTTGGCAAGTGCGCCAGGTCTCCAAAGTCAAGGCCTACCGATCTCTTGACGAGTGGGTAGATCAACATGACAGGATGTGCCGGTTTGGCAACCATTGGGCCGACTTGGGTGCCAAGAAGGCTACGGCTGGGGAGGGATTTTGTGGTCCCCCTCGCCTTGCTGCCGAAGTTTACTCTCTATTGGATCGTTTGGATGCAGACTTCAAGCTAGCTAAAGCCTTCGCCAAGCTTGGCGCTCGCCTTCTTCCGTCCTGGCCACGTTTGGACCTGGATGGAGCCGAACACCACAGACCCCCGCCAGCACCCAAGCAAGTCCGTGTCAGGTGTCAGTGGGCCATCATCCAGCTGCCAGGGATCGCCGCCTCCTCTGGCTGTTGGAAACGCAGTCAGTGTGGAAGAGCCAGACGCTCACCCACCACAGGCCCTGTCCCCACCTCTCCTGTCTGTCGCCCGTCTCCTTCCTCCTCCTCCGTTGTGCTCGCGGGAAGGGGCATCGCAAAATCAGTCCTTTGTGCTCGGACAATGCGGACCCTGTTGTCTGCCTAGCCTTTTACTGCTATTCTTCTCACGGCAGGGTGGTTGGCGTAGGTAAACTTTATCTCGGACCGACCAGGGCCACCAGATATGGGAATTGGAGTCCGGTCTGCAAAGGGCGCCGCCCCAACCGCCCAGGGATCACCGTCGAGCGTGGGCCCTGGTCGCGTTTCAGTGCCGCAGCCACCGCCGCCCCGACTGTCTTGGAGGAGGAGGCCGCCGTCGTCGTTGAGTATGGTGGTGGAGGAGGTACTTCTTCTGCAAGTGCTCCCCTGGGCACGCACCAGGCTCTCAGCCTGGAATCCCCGTTCTTGTTGCAGCGGCCGCCGCCTCCCTCGACGATGACTTCGAAGGCGAGGGGGCTGCAGCGTGTGCCCTTTTCTCTGATGGCCCCGCGGGCCGTCTCCCAGCCGCATCCTGTGCGCGCGTTTGTTCTTCCTCTCGTGAGGCGGGCTCTTCTGGGGCTGCTGGCGCAGCTCCCAGTGTGGCTGGTGCATCTCGTGCACCTCAGGCCCCTTTTCCCGATGCGTCTTCGTCCTCCTCCGCCTCTGTGAACACGCTTTCGATTCAGGCGGTCTGTGACCGTCTCCTTGCGGAGGCTGTTTCGTTTGCGGAGGAGGAGATCGGATCCAATGGTTTTTCGTCGGGATCCGACTCGTTGGCAAATCCTCAGCCTGTTGATGACAAACCATCCTCCTCGTCCTCCTCCTGCCCCCGTTGTTCGTCCTCCTCTTCCTCCGCATAACCGCCCCTCCTCCTTATCATCACCACCATCATCATTATCAGCAGCAGCATAATCATCATCCATCCTGGTCCTCCTCCTCCTCCTCATCCTCCTCCTCCCCATCATCATCGTCATCATCATCAGCATCATCATATCATCATCGTTGCCATCATCCCTCCTCCCCATCCTCCTCGTCATCATGGTCAGCACCACCAGCCAGGTGGCGAATGGATGTTGACAGAACACGCATGGCGCGGCCCTGATGATGAGGAGGAGGAGGAGGTGGAGCCGGAGGAGGACCAGGATATCTAATGATGGTGATGATGATGGTGATGAGGAGGAGGAGGGATGATGGTGATGACGACGGCGATCATGAGGGGGAGGAGGGGGGGATGTTGATGATGATGTTGATGATGAGGATGGAGAAGGAGAGAGAAAGGGAGAAAGAAAACAAGAAATAACGCACACGAGCCACCTACATAAAGATACCACCCCACGGGGGAAGGGGGGGGGCAGGGAGGGGGGCGCAGGGAGGAGGGGGGGGGGGGGGGGGGCCAGAGGCGCGCGGGTCACTTTACAACCAGAAGCGCACTTTACAACCAGATGGGTCACTTTGCAACCAGCTTACAAAATCCGAGAAGGGCACTTCACAACCAGGCAGGGCACTTTACAACCAGGCAAGTGGAAACACATATGGAATGCACGCGGGCCTTTCCCTGAAATCTCCGCGGGCAAGCGCAAGGGTGGCTTTGGGCTCTCTGAGGCATGTTGGTTGTAAAGTTGCCCATCGCGCGCGAAGAAGCACTGCGCACGCGTTGGTGATGCGACAACCTGGTGCGCTATGGCATGTTGCGTGCTGGTGGGCGGATTCTGGTTTTGACCTGCTCTCTAAGCCCTGTCGATCAGTTATGCCATTGCTTGCTCTGCCTTTTTCTGACGGACGAAGGCTACTCGCGCAGGACATGCGAATGAACCATGATCCTGTCCAAGACTGGAGCTGCATGGCAGTGGGGAGCTGCAGTGGGAGGTGTGGTAGCGGGGGCTACAATGGGAACTGCATGGTGTTGGGAAGCTGCGGTGGCAACTGTGGTGGTCGCCAGGCAGCGGTGGGAACTGCGGTGGTAGCTGGGCTGCAGTGGGATACGTGGTGGTAGCGGGGGGTCATACATAATTGTGGAGGTAGCGGGGCTGCAGCGGCAAGCGTGGTGGTAGCAGGGCTGCAGTGGAAACTGCAGTCGAAGGGGTTCAATACGAGGCCGTTGGTGAAGACCCCGACCACCGTCTTGAACATGGCGGTGACCGCGGAGGTGGACGCGCCCCAGTAGGTAGACATGGAAGTAAGACACGTCAAAAGAGAACTCGCCCAGCGGGAATGGAAACCGCTCAGAGGCATCGCTGGGGCCTGCGCAGAGCGTTCAGGCGCTCGGGCTCCGGAGCGCCCGCGTGCTCTGGAGCACTTTTCAGAGCGTCCGCGCGCCCTGGGGCACTTTTGAGAGCGCCCACTTGCTCTGGGGCATTTTTCGGAGCGCCCACTTGCTCTGGGGCACTTTGCGGAACGCCCGAACACGCACGGCCACTCTGAGCTGGTTGTAAAGTGGCCCGTTCTGGTTGCAAAGTGGCCCGTTCTGGTTGCAAAGTGGTCCGTTCTGGTTGTAAAGCGGGCCGTTCTGGTTGCAAAGTGGGCGTTCTCGCTGAAAAGCCACACTTTCCAATCCTATGTTGGTTGTAAAGTAACCCATCTGGTTGTAAAGTGGTTGTTCCGGTTGTAAAGAGACCGAATCTCGGGGCCAGAGGGGGGCGCAGGGAGAAGGGGGGGGGGGGGGGGGCAGGGAGGAGTAGGGAAGACGAGGCGGGGGCAGGGATGAGGGGTCGCAGGGACGAGGGGGGAACAGGAGGCGGGGGGGGGAGAGCGGCGGGGGGGCCAGGGTGAGGGGGGGGAGGCGGGGAGCGAGGGGGGCCGGCTGGAAGGGGAGAGCGGTGAACCGGTTGGGGTGGCAGTGGGGGCGTGGAGAGAAGGGACGGGTGCAGCGGCGGCCGCTGCGCTCTTGGGAAGCGAACCCTCCGTTTCAGGGGGCTCCAGCACCGGTGGACGCTCCCGATGGCCGCTTTTTCCAGAGACGGCCTCATCGACCTCGGAGACACGAGCGAGGAAGAGAGGGGGGTCTTGCGTTCCCAGCTCGGTCTCCTCCATGCTCTGTGTCCCTGTTTCCTCCTTGTCCGGTTTTTCTTATCCGACTCGCCAGGGCAAGCTTTCATTGGCCGCATGCAGCGCTTTCGGGTGAAGCAGGTACGGACACAACGGAACAGTCCATGACCCATGGGCACCTGTCCCACATCTGCTACATGGTCTAAATGCGAACCGGGATTCGATCGGAACCGCAGCATGCTGAACAACAGCATCTACTCGGACATACGGCTGTGCACTGGCGTGTTCAGCACGCCCTTCAAACTACATGCTTGGGGCTCTCTGGCATAAAGGTGGTTTCCCCGTCTTTGATCCATATTGCATTCGCCTGGCTGTTGACGCGTGCGGGTTGCCTGAGTTGATGATTCGCGTGATCGAGGCTCTTTGCGACCTTGTTTTGGTCGAAATCCGACTTGATGGAGGAGGAGGACGACGACGAGGAGGAGGAGAAGGGAAAATATCAAGAGGAAGAGGAGGCGAAGGAGGAGGATATGGAGGACGACTACGACAAAACAACATCAATGAAGACGAAAGTGGGAGGAGAGGGGGACATGGGCGGGGGAAACGAGGGGAAGAGGTCAGGAGGGGCCCGGTTGGGAGGGGAAAGGGGAGGGTGAGGGACGAGGGAGGGATGGAGGGGAGGAGAGGGCAAACATGCATGGAGGGGTGGAGTCCTCCTATTCCACCTGGTTCTCCCCTCCGCCTCCTTCCCCTCATCCTCCTCCTTCGCCTAGCCATTATGGCTCTAGCCATCCTTCCTGGGGCCCGCGCGCGTCGGCATGTCTTCTCTTCGCTGGTGGGCTACGTGGCCAGCCGATGTGCCGCACAATGAAGTACAACTGCCTCGCGACCAGTGTCAGGCGGCTGGAGAAGGGCACGTGCATCGGCTTCGAGTGCAGCATGCTCGCGACGGCTCTGCGCTGTCGTGCGTTCCACTGTGATCTGGTGGAGCACAACGTTCAGGAGGGAAAAAAACACACAGACACAATTAATCGTCCCTCCCCAAGAAAATATGGGAAAATATGGGAATTGGGCGGGAAGACAAAAACCCAGAAAATATGGGAAAATATGGGGAACCTTTTTATTTGTGTGTATTTATTTGTGTGTCCCAGGGCCCCTTCAAACGTGCACTTCCCGTCGCAGGCTGTTTCACTTGCCTGGCCGACTGCGGGGCGGCGGGTTTCCCAGCGTGATCGGCGCTCCTTTCGTGCTGCGGCTGCTGCGCGTCATCATTGCCTGCTCCCCGACGGCAGCGGGGCGAGCGTGGAGCGCCAGTGTTTTGCCTTCGGCTTCGCCGCCGTCTTGGGGGAACGCGTGGTCTGCGCGGTGATGCTCCCGAGTTTGTCCCGGGTGAAGAGGGCATCTGTCGGGAGCGGAAAAGAGGGGGGTGATGACTAGGGGGGGGTGGATATCATGGCGCGGGCCATGATTTTTCCTCAGATTTCATGGCGCCTCTTCTTATTTCATTACGTCCCTGGCCCCCCCGCTGGGCCGCGCACATGCCGCCGGTCATGATTTGCACCCCCCCCTCTTGGACACCCCCCTCTTGGCCGCTCCCGAATCTGGCTTCCCCTGTGCTATCCCTATGGGCCATCTTGGCTCTGACCCGTTTGGTGCCGGCACTGCTTCTGTTGGGGCCCTGCCGGCTTCAGCACCAGATCGATCAACTGTGGTCGATTGCTGACAGGTGGTCTGTGTGTCTGGGCGAATGTTATGATTCTTGTCGCGAGGCGAGCAATGGCTACTTGGTCGCGCAGGCTGTTGAGCAGAAGTCCGAGCGCCAATTTACAAAGCTCAGCGACTTAGAAATCATTGTTTCCACAATGCTCGTGGATCGTGGTCTCGATCAGCGCCTGGACAATTGTTCGGTGGAGATCGCCGACAAGATCGATGATTTCGAGTACTCTCCTTGCCGACAAGGTGCACCCTCTTCAGCGTGACGTGCAACAACGCGTGGATGATCTTCATGGTAAGGATATTGCGGCGGCCTCCCGTGCCGACGATCATCGCCAATTGGGTTAGAAGCAGACGTCCGATCTTTGGCTATACATTGTGGAGGTTCCCTCGCTCGCCATGCTGAACACGAAGTTTGATTATGTGTGGATTGTTTCGCTGTCACACCGCGAAGCCCACTGACTCCCTCACGAGGAACATGGCCGCGGCTCGCAATTATGTTTATTCGGAGATTGCGAAGTTACGAGCTCCGTCGGGTGCTGCCCTCTTGAAGTTTAGATCGAAGCCATTGGACCGCCTTTGGATCGACTGCCGGCAGATTGTCAACGCTCGCGGGATTAGGTTTGCGATTCCATGACCTCGATCCGCGCAGGCACGCTCGTAGACGCCCTCGCGGTTGTCACGGAGTCGCTTGCCGAGGTAGGAGTCTCCCGTCTCGAACGCCTCGCGGTTGAGGTACATGCCGATGTGGTACAACTGCGCTCCGGGTCTGCACATGGGACTCTGGCTCCTGACGTGACGGATCAGGTTGCCATCCATGTGGAAGTTCTTCAACAATTTACCATTTTGTTTGGTACGCTGGCTGTGCAGAATACTCAGTTGATTTCGGATGCCGTTGCAAAGGTATTCCGGCAATCTTGGGGGAATATGATGTCGTTCCCCTCCGCGTTCATTCGGCGTCCTCTAAGCGTGGCCCTGCTGGCCCCCATCCCCTTCGCTCGACTGGAGGTACGACAGCTGCTGATGCCAGGTCCGTGGAGTTTTTCTCGGAGTGCGTTGGGATCAGGAGCCACCTGTATTCGAGACTCACGTGCGCCTGCTTACTGCGAGACGAAGTGGAGACTGTTTGGGGCGAGTGGCGCGGGCTGTCCTCCCGCTGTCGTCGGCGCCGCCTTGGTATCTAATGTTGCTTCGCTGTCTCTCGCCACTCCCCTGTGGAATCGCGGATTGATCTGCCCCCCAGTCAGACAGGACGTTTTTTTCTACGCTCGTCCTTCTCCGCCTCCACCTCCTTCAAAGTCGAGGTCCCAGCCCTTGCTCCTCCCCCTCCTCCTCCTCCTCCTCCTCCTCCTCCTCCTCCTCCTCCTCTTCCTCTTCCTCCTCCTCCTCCTCCTCATCATCATCATCATTATCATCATCCCCCTCTTCTTCCTCCTCCTCCTCTTTGCCTTTTCTCTTTCTCCCCATCCTCCTCCTCCTCCTCCTCCTCCTCCTTTGCCTCCTCTGCCTCATCCTCCTCCTTTTCCTCCTCCAGTTTGTGCACGTCAGGCATGAGGTCTTCGCTGGTGGGCGATGCCATTGTATTCATTTGAGGGGGAGGAAGGGATGTATGACAGTTATTAACACGCATATTGATCCAGCTCTTTCTAACGGAATGAAATATGGGTTGATTCGGCAGGTCGCTTCACGTGTGAAACCTGTTGACAAATACGCTACATGGATTTTGGGTGATTTTAACTGTCTTGATCCTGGGGACTCCCGTGTTTTTCTGCAAGCAGAACCTGTCTCCGCCAAGACCGACACGGTGGGCAGCTTCTTTGCGGGCATTTTTCCATACATGTGCGAGGTGGCTCAACTTTACCCTACGTTTCGAGTGAAACAAGACGAGAAAATCATCTCCGCTGGGCGTCTGGATAGAATCTATACCAGTTTGGACTCTGGGCACCTACTCGATTTGAAGCCTGCTGCGGGTGTTATTTGGCCAGTTACTGACCTGTCGAAGCCGAGTGACCATACCCCTGTTTACGTTTCCATGTTTCCTGGACCGCGAAATGACTTCCCTCGGATTCCTTCTTGGGTTACTGGTAAGCCTCAGTTCTCGGAAGCTGTTCTGGATCTTTCGGAGGATCTGCCCCCTCTGTCGTCAGCTTTTACTCGGCTTCGAGGTCTGACGGAGGTGTTTCACGAAGCTGCTCGTCGCGTCAAAGCTGGTCTGTCCGTATCGGGTCCTGAATCAGCAGCTGAGCTTCTCTCTTGGTTCTTTGCGGTCCTGCGCGCAATGACGCAGAACAATACTTTTATCGTCCGCAAGGCTGTGCGCGCTGTGCCAGAGATGTCGAAGTATGTGGACGAGGTGGTCGGGTGGTGGGTTGACTACGGAGGGTTTATGGAGAGGGTGAGGGCGGTTTCGGAATCGGTGTTAGACGAGGAGGTGAAGGATTTGTTCGCGTCGCCGTCGCTTTCGCATGAGTACAAAGTAAAGAAAGCGCAGCAGATCCAGAGGCACATTCAAGCTTGGAAGGCTCGTAATCGAAGATTGGTGCTAGCAGGAGTGGAGGCTCCTGACGGCACTGTTCCTGGCACCCAGGCCGGGTGTGCTGCGCTACTTGCTGATCATTGGGGGATGGTTCATTCCAACTAAGCTAGAGAGCGAGTTAATCAACTGCCCTTCCAACGTTTCGTTCAAAGAGCCTCGGAAAATGTGATTTGGGAAGCCTCGTTCGAGCAATTCAAACTGGGGCTTAGACGCTTTCGTGATTCGGCGCCTGGTCCTGATGGGGCCCCTTTCAGTTGTTACTCGGCCGCTGGGGATCTCGGAGCTGAAGTGCTGTACGAAGCCTATCTATCGCTCCTCAGGGGCGAGGCGGAGGACGACGAGTTTAATCTGTGCCTTGCAGTATTTATCCCGAAGGGGGAGGTGCCTGAGTCTGTGGACGAGTTGATCTCGAGTCCACCTGAGACTCGGCCGATATGCGGGTGGATCAACTGGGGGTTGGCGAGACAGGCGTCGATTTCGTGTGCGAGTCCGCAGCGCGGGTTTGTGCTGCGCAGATTTTTGAACGACAATGTTCTCGAGGCTGCGTCTAAGCTCGCGATGTGGTGCTGTGTGTCTGGCCATAGGGCGTCGGGTTGCATCCTTCTCGATATTCGGGCCGCGTTTCCGTCCCTCAACCATGGGTGGATCTGGTGGATCCTGGAAACTATGGGAGTGCCGAGTTGTATCATACGGGCCTTGAGGTTCCTGTATTCGGGTATTCGAGCGTCCATCGCCCTGGGAGGTCAACGTTTTCCTGGCTTCGAGATTGAGTCTGGGATTAAGCAGGGGTGTCCCGCCTCGGGGTCGATCTTCGCGCTCTCGCTGGACCCCATCGTTCGTGCCCTCGTTTGTGCGTTGCCTGAGCCAGAGTCTTGTCTGTGTGGATTCGCGGACGACCTGATGCATGGCTCGTGTGACCTGTTCGAGACTGTTCCGAATGTGCTGGTGGTTATGAACCAGTGCGCCTTGGCGACGGGATTGCAACTGAATAGCAAGAAGACCGTGGTTGCATTTATGGAAGAGTTTCAGGAGTCATATGTTCGGGATCGGTTCGATGAGATGGGTGTTGATTTGGGGGGAATATGCATTCGGACGTGTGGGAAATATCTTGGGATTTTCTTGGGCCGTGGTGGAGGGGAAGTGAGCTGGAGGGATCCGATGGTGAAGTATGTGAGGAGGGTCAGAGAAATACGTGGGCTGGGATTGGGGCTAGTCGAGACGATTTTGAGCTACAAGTCCCTCGCTCTGCCTGTCACGCAATTCGTCGCCCAGTACTTTGAGCCGCCTCCCGCACTGTTCCGTCTGGAGGATGAATGTCTGCAGTTGCTCGTGAACGGGCCACGGCATGCTGTCCCCCGAGCTGTCTTCTTTGATATTGAGGCGATTGGCGTCAAGCTCCATCTGCCGCAACTGCGGCAACTGTGCATGGCGGCCAGATATCGGACCGCGAAAAAAATGAGATGTTCCCCAAGCTGATTCAGCAGCACAAAGACTTGATTGAGTCTGACGACTTCCTGATTGCACACCAGTTCTCTGATTTGTTCCTCCAGAGCCCGCTGTACCAGTTGAACCGTGTTTGTGAGTTGCTGGATAGAATCCCCGATGTTCCCGATGATCCAGACAAACGTAACTTCCCGGCTGCTGTGCTACGTGCGATTGAAAAAAGTGACCCTCCAGACTCCGCGTGTAAGGCATTGATTCCGAGGTTGCAGTATTTCTGTGGGCATGAGGCGGTCCGACAAGAAATGAGCACCTTGCTGATGATTAGAGTTGGTCGTCCAGGGCAAATGCTCCCGGGAATTGTGATGAGTAGTTTGATCAAAACTATGTGCAACGCTTGGTGTACCACCCGCAGATACCACCAGGGGCCCGACAGGTGCAAATTCGGATGTAGCTGTGTTGGAGGAGATGACGTCCTCCACTATCTACCTTGTCCTGTCATCTCGCCTGTTGTGTCCGCTCTGCTCCCTCTCTTGCCTCATGATTATTCTGATTGGGGAAGTGAGAGGAAGCTGTGCCCTCTGTTTTTTGCTGGCCCCATTCATGCACATGCGAGTTGTGCCATTGCCATCGATTTGCTATTTCACACTTACAACAAGGTAAGGAATTCAGGTCGGAGGCTGAGCGTGGCCAACCTCCTCAAGGCGCGGGCCAAGGTGCTGGCCCAGAGGCAGGCGGGGCTGCGGCGCCTGCTCAGGGGAGAACACGCGGGGTTGGGATGATCGCACCTCCTCCTCCTGTCACGAGGAGGGAGGGGGGAGAGGACGGCGCGCGGCCCGCCGCGATGCGGGCGCAGGCCGAGCTGAACGCGGAGGCGAAGGCCGACTCCACGGCCTCCGAGGCGAAGGCCGCGCAGGCGACGGACTCGGCCTCGCCCTCCGCCTTCGCGTCTCCCTCGTGCTCCTGTGCCCTCCCCCACTCCTGCGTTTCCTCCTCGTCCTCTTCCTCCTCCTCCTCCTCCTCCTCCTCGTCCTCGTCCTCCTCCTCCTCCTCCTCCTGCTCCTCCTCCTCCTCCTCCTCCTCCTGCTCCACCATCCGCGTCCTCGTGCGCAGTTCCTCCCTGTCGTGCCCCGAGGCGCGTCGGTCGGGCGGGCCTGGGCGTTTCGCTCGAGACGTCCTCACCAAGTATGATCCTGAGGCTGACAATTTGCCAGCAATTCACGGATGGAGGGCGGGTGGTCTTCAACATGTTATTTTCGCTTGTAGCGCCGCGTGCATTTGTAAAATATTCACGGGTGGAGGGCGGGCGGTTTTCAAAATGTGGCTCTCGCTTGCGCGTTTCGCACGTTCGGTTTGAAAGTTGTGCACGACTCTCACGAATGGAGGGCGGGCCGTGTTCAAACTGTGGGGTCTCCAGTCGGCGCCGCGCACATTCGTCTTGAAAGTTTCTAGACACTTTACGGGTGGGGGGCGGTTCGTTTTGAATATGTTGTTTTCGCGCTAACGCCGCGCACCATTCTTTACACGTTTGCATTAGCTTCAAGGATGGGCGGTGGGTTGTTTTCAAAATGCGGCTCTCGCCTCAGCGCCACACAAATTCGTTGTACACGTTTGCGACAGCTTCAGGGATGGAGATCGGTTCTTGTTCAAACTGTGGTTCTCGCTTTAGTGCCGCGCGCATTTCTTCTACAAATTTGCCGCAGGTTCCACGATTCGAGCGGGCTGGGCGGTCGTGCAGGTAGATCGGTTCGGTAGGCTTGTGGCAGCGGCATGCGGGCCCGTCCCGATTGCTGTAGCACCTCGACGAACAGCGAGGGATGCCGAGGACCATGCTATCAACATGCGTACCGACATCCGCATGCACAATATTAGAACCCAGTACACGCTTGCAGACGCTGATGCAGGACAGACCACGGAATGGGAGTTTGCAGCCAATGGTTTGGCGGACGAATATGCTAAGAGAGATGCTGCAGCTCACGGTGTGGACCCAACTGGCTACCAGCCACGGCGAGGCCTGGAGCTGTGCGCGCGCGAGGCTGCGGCGTGGGCCGCAGAGGCGCACATCCAGGCTGATGGCCAGGACCACGAGGGTCTCATGGAATGCTACCCGGCGAAGCGCCGGGCCGCCCCGACCCGGGCGCCGCCCACCGACAGCCCAACGAGCCCCAGCCAGGAGCCGCCCGAGGATCCTGGGGGTTTGGGGCGGAGGAGCTGGGCCTGGGAGTGGGGCCTGGGTGGGAGGACTACCCTGGGCTCAGGTTTAGATGGCAGCGGCGCCTTTCACTGCAGTGTGAAGTTGAGGGCGCCACTCCGAAGGTCAAGCTTCTTTGGTCCTTTGGTTCTGCTGTCGGCGCGGTGCAGCGAGCTCTGACGGTAAGTTAACGTCGTCGGCTGCCTCCGTGTGTCATGGCCGTGTCGGGAAAGGCACTCAGGACCAGTTTCGACGGATCTGCAATGGTGAGTTCCCCCATTACAGATCGGGGGTAGACTCGTTTAAACTTGATACCAGATTCCGACCTAGTTTAGCCGAGATCTATTTTTACCGAGTCTAATTTTACCGAGCCGGGGCCTGAATATTAAGCGTGTGTCCCCAGGAGCGTTGCTGAGATTATGTTGTTGTTGCCATTGTAGTCTGGGTTCAGTCCAGGGTCAGTCCGGGGTAAGTGCGGGGTCAGTCCAGTCCAGGGTCAGTCCGGGGTCAGTCCGTCCGGGGTCAGTCCGGGGTCAGACCGTGGTCCGTCCGGGGCCGGTCCGGGGTCCGTCCTGAGTCAGTCCGTCCGGGGTCAGTCCGGGGTCAGTCCGGGGTCCGTCCGGGGCCGGTCCGGGGTCAGTCCAGGGTCAGTCCGGGGTCAGTCTGGGGTCAGTCTGGGGTCAGTCAGCTGATTCCAGACTGACCCTGGATAGATCTGGATTGGTCTGACCGTGCAGACTCACGCTAGAATGATCGCGTATGTATGGGCCCCAATCAGAGCAAAGTCAGCGCAGCCGAGCCGACCGCCACACTACCAGATGCACGCGTATGTTGGGGCGGAAGGAAACCAGTCTCATATTGAAGTATGCTTTAGGAAATGCGGAAGTCGGACACCTAGATTGCGGATCTAGTTTAACCGAGTCCTAGTTTCACCGATTCTATCTTTCACGGCGGAGTGTTTTCGTTTAAGTTGCCACCAGGGTGTGCTGCCAGCGGCGAGAGCAAGCCTGCTCGAGCAGGCCCGGGCCGCTGCAGCCCCTCCAGCGCGGTCGGCCAGACGCGTCCGACGTGGAAAGGGGCGGAGGTGGGCGGGCGGGACGAAGTGCTGAAGGTCCTCGGTCTGACGGTCGGGGACCGATTCAGAGTGGTCGATTCGGGCCGACTGGCGATCCAGCAGCCTCATCAGCCTCTGCGGGACCTGACTTTATTTGGAGGACCAAGTGTTGCACCAGCCTTTAGGAACGACCCAAGTCGAGCCTCCTCCTTCTTCTCCTGGTCCTCTTCTTCCTCCTCCTCCTGCTTCTCTTCCTCCTTCTCCTCCTCCTTCTCCTCCTCTCCCCTCCTCCTCCTCCTCCTCCTCCTCCTCCTCCTCCTCCTTTTCCTCCTCCTCCTCCATCTCCTCCTCTTCCTCTTCCTCCTCCTCCTCCTCCTCCTCCTCCTCCTCCTCCTCCTCCTCCTCCCCCTCCTAAATCGTTCTCTGAACAGGGTTGCTCCTTGGGAAGCGTTGCTGGCCGCCCGTCTGCGATCTTCCGTTGACGTTTCGCTCAAGCTTTTCCCCACGGGGGCATGGTGCCTCCGTGGGCGGTCGGAGCCCTCACCCAGCTATCGCACGGCGTGGCCTCCTGGTTGAGTCGGGCACCCCCGCCGCCGCCGTGCCCGGCGCTGGAGTGCCCGGACTGCCATTGCGCCTGCCCCGCGGTGCCGCCCTGCCCGGCCTGCCCAGGGGCGCCGGCTCCCCAGTGCCCGCTGCAGGAGCGGGTTCGCGCCCCCGCGGCGCCCGCGGCCCCGACGGTGGCAGCGGCCTGGGGGACGACCGTGGCGTCGCTCGTGATCGGCATCGCGCTCGGCGACCTTGGGAGGTGGAGCGATGGCTGCTGCTGCCGCCGGCGCCGTGCCCGCGCTGGACGGAGTGGACCAGGTGGCGTACCTCCTGTATGCAGTCCCGGGGGCGCCCCTGTGGCACCAGCGCTGGAACTTGGGTCGGGTGGTGTCCTGTCCGAGTGACGCGATCTTGGTATCGCCGGACCACCAGGTACAGTGCGAGGTGGTGGACGGGACGTCGGCCGACATCAGCGCGGTGAGGTGGGCGCCCGCCCTGGCCCCCAGGCCACCGGGCGTCGTGCGGGCCTACCGCTTCGCGAGCCCCCCGACCGCGGCGGAGGTGGCGGCCTGGCTCCCCGACGCCCAGGCCGAGGCTCGGCGCTGCTTTGCTCGGCGCCACCCGGGCGTGGCCGTGCCGGCGCCCGTCTTCGAGGCGTGGCCCTGGGCTGCGCCGGGGGCGCCGGCTGCCGCCGTCGGGCCCGCCCCTGCCGCGGGGGCCCCCGCCGCCGGGCCGCCGGGCGGAGGGGGTCGTGGTGCCAGCGGGGGGCCCGCCGCCCGCCGCGGCGCCCGTCGCCCCGGCACCCGCGCCCCTGCCGGGCGGGGTGATGCGCCGAGGAGGTGCGGCCGCGGGGGCTGCGCCGGCCGCGGGCGGCGGGGAGGCGGGCGGAGCGCCGGCGCCCGCGGGAGCAGCGCTCGCGGCGGCCGTGGTCGGGGGGGCCCGACCCCTGGTGCTGGCGGGAGGCGCTGGCGACGCCGCCCCCGCCCCTGTGGGGAACTGGCGCGTCGCCCAGGAGTGGAGGGGGTACCACTACGGCGATGTGATCATCCCTCCAGCGGGCTTCGCTGGGGCGGGCACTCCCGCCCGCGGAGTCGTCCTGCTCGCAGACGGGTCGTCTCTCTTCGTCGAGTGGGTGGCCATCGGTGACGAGTCGGACTTCGCCGACCGGGCGGTGGCGCCCGACTGTCGCCTGCTGCCGGTCCGCCTCGATCGCGCGGGCAGGCCCTTCCGGACGCTCGAGAACCTCGTCGAGAGCTGCCGCCAGGAGCACCTCCCCGACTTCATCGCGCCGAGGACGACCATGTGGTGCCTCGAGCACCTTGCGGGCGAGGGGCGCTCGCTCGAGTCCCACTTCGAGCACTTCAAGAAGCTGTGCGGCCTGCAGGACACCCAGTGGGGCATGGAGGAGTACGCCAGCGTGATCAGCTACTTGAAGGCGTTGCTCCAGCATGATCAGGTGGACGCGTCCAACATCCTGTCGGTGGAGATGATGTTCCGCCGGCTCCAGACGATCGAGTATTGCTACAGCGACAAGTTGCGCGAGAGGACGGCGGGCTCTTCCGGGGGAAGGCTCACCGCCGACGAGCAGGCCGCCTTCGGCGCCACCGCCCGGGCCGAGTCGAGGCTCATGGTGTCGCCCGCGCTCCTCGAGAGCGCCAAGCAGGAGCTGGAGCGCGACGCCTCGCTGGCCAAGAGCCTCCTGAAGGCGCGCGAGGCCCGGGAGTCGCTGGGCCGGCGGAGGCAGGGCCAGGGGAAGGACCAGGGGTGATGCTCGACCGCCCCCCCCAGACGTCCCTCAGGTCTGGTGGGGGGGATCCCAACATGACTGGGGATGCTCGGCACGCCGTCGCGCCGCCGGGAGATTTTGGCAGGAACGTGGGAAGGGATCTGCTGCCTTTCCCCACGGAGCTGCTCACCTCGTCGGGGCCACCTGCACCTGGGCTCTCGCGAGGTTGCCGGCAGAGAGTCGGCCGTCGGCAGCGTCGTCACGCCGACGTTCTTCGGTGCTTGGAGGGTCTCAACACGATATACGGCCGCCGTGATGGGGTACCTGTACCTGCTGATCTGAGCCTCGGGCAGCAGCATATGCTCGAGCATGTTGAATCCTCTGTCTCTTTCCTGGGGCCTCCCCCGGATGATCTTTCGCAGGCGGCAGCCCTCCAGGCGCTGCGCCTCGGCCTCCCCTACGACGCAGGGGGGGGCCCCGTGGGCTATGAAGCCTCCCGCGTGTCCCTCCCGGCAGCTGGGTCTGCCCCGACTCCGCTCGCTCGGCTCTGGGGATCCGGCGGGGAAAGCACTGTTGCACGCTTTGCTGAGTCGCAAGTTTTGCCCACCGACGTGGCTCGAACGAAATTAAAGG